TGTTTGATCTCTTCTCTTTCGAAGTTGTTGTTTGCATTTCATCCCATCAGAGTCATCACCTCTTTCATTCTATCACAGCTTGTATTTGATGGCACTGGACAAGATCGTTCAAGCTGGCATGTGGACTACCTTGCATAACATTGTCACCCACTATTTTCTTAACCTGGTTATTTTGTTTCCCAAGGGTACTGCCTACTTCCATTTGCCATCCTACAATTTACCCATCATTTTTAGAGAGGTTAGTACATTCCCCTTTGGTTTTGAGCATTTGCTTCCAGGATCCCACCAGGTGGCTGGTGGTGCCTCTCAGGGTCCACTTTTTTTTCCCCAAAATTTTGCATAGAGCTAGGATAATGGAAAGCGCTCATACCATCAGCTGTAGCTCCATATATGCCCACTGTTGAGATGAGGTGTTCCACAAGATCACTTGAAGTATCCTTGTGATATATTCTGATATATTTTTACTGTTCGATCCAAACTCTTCCATGGATTATCATGGAGGAAGCCAGCACCAAAGGTGCTCTGCCTGCTTCCCTGACTTGTGCTTACTGGCTTTCAAGATTTTTCTGACAAGAATGATCTGAGCATTTTCTGTGGGTCTACCCACCATAAACCCCCCCCCTTTTCTTCCAGTGAAGCAAAGGAGACCCTTACCACTTACCAGTTCCTCACCACTGGGGTGGTGGACCATGGAGAACCCTCACTCATTGGGACCTAATAGCCAGCAGCTTAACAAAGGGTGCTAACCAGTGGGAAGTGGTGACACTGTTAGTGTGGCACAAGTCCAGGTCATCCTTCTTATAATCATCAGGGTTTGTTCATGTCTTGGAATTCCTGAAATTTCACCATACCCCTGGAAAAGTCCTCATTTCTCTCTTGAACCTTGGAGAAATGAAAGTCCTCCTACATTAGACACTTTATATTCAAACATTTGTTAATATTTAATCCCACTGTGAAGGGTTCCATCATTTCTTTTAAACCAGATACACACATTTTCAGGTCAGATGCAATTTATGTGAGTCATCTGGGTTTTAGATAGTGATGTGTTACCCTTATGATCATTCATCATAGTGAATGCAATGCACGCCACAAATATCATTTTCTATTGCCCTAACGAGTCTCTCTATCGATTGATATACACACATAGCACATTCAATGCATGCAATATAAATCGATGGGCTGTCAATTGGAACAGTAGGCCTACATATTGCCTGAAATTGGCTGATAATGCCGAGGGGAAAATACATATTTAATAAGGGGTGGCTTAAAAAGCATGAATACTATATGTGGTTGAACCGAGATGTAGATAAATATAATGCAAAATGCACTTTGTGAATGGAGACATTTGATATCTCAAACATGAGAGAAGCGGCTTTAAAAAACCATGCTGCTGGTATGATGCACATGCATTTGTGGCAGACTATGTTCATTGGGAAGAATATAATATTTTTTTTTAATGAAAGTGATATTCAAGCTATCTTCGCTCGTGCACCCTCAGTTGACACAGCCACAAATACGTGTACCTCACAGCAATCACTGATTACCATTTGTCTCAAGGTCAGATTGTTTAAAATCTGAAATTCTGTGGACATTGAAAGTTGTGAAGTCACACTTTTCCTTCAACTCATGTTCCAATGTCAGTCCACTATTCACTGAAATGTTTTCAGACTCAAAAGTTGCAAAATGGTTTTCATGTGGTGAGAGGAATTTATTTGTGTAGTTTTGGAATAGCATCATATCTGAATATATCTATTCTCATTAAGAAAATTAATGACTGAAATGGATATGTCTTGCTCTTAGATGAAAGCTTAAATCACAAGAACAGAAAAAAAAAACAGATGGATGTACCTGCACGGATTTGGGAAGATTACAAGATCTGTTTCAGACTATCAGTATATAATTAACAACATTCAGAAGAATAAAAATAAGAATAATTGTAATACTACTACTAATATTTATTTATTTATTCTTTCATACAATAATAAAGATAGATAAAATACAGATAAAAGGTTAATTAGAATATACCTTCTGTGTTACTTTCTTTTACTAACAGTACATCTTCAGTCATTATAGAAATATTTAAACATGCAAAAATAAAAAAGTTCCCATGAAGCTTTATCAGCTTATTTGTGGAATACTTCTTTATAACTATGACCATGTATTCCTATAAATGTTAGTAAATATAACTAAACAAAAGACAAAATGGCAAAATTAGTATTAAAAGTCTATTTAAACAAAATTTCATATTAACATATATCTGAAGTTAACAATTTAATAATTGTAACACAAAAACATAATATTCTGTAATGTTTTTGCACTATTATCATAAACAATCACTTAAATACATGATAAAAATGTGAAATTAATGATACTAAAGGGACACTCAGTAGAGCACATACCTTCGCAATGCAGCATTTTAAAGAAATTCTTAATTTCCCTTAGTTTGAGATTTGTGATTTCTCTCTAGGCATCTACTTTTTTGTAACTTATTTACCACATTTTTCATGGTTTTTGTTTCAGTTCCAGTTTTCATCCAATGGCAACAATCTTCCAAAAAAATTCCTTAGAAATTTTGCTAACAAGCACATACACACACAAACACACAGGGGGTGAAAACATAACCTCAATCTACCTGTGTTGGAAAGGTAATTAATCCAGTAAGATTAAATTACCATTCAATGATTATTACTCTGCTTTTATATGAACACCACTTAATAACCAGTCTTTAAATTTTCTTTTTTAACTCTGCAAAGGTACTTATGTTTCATAAAACCCTAGAAAGTTGGTATTTTATACTTTCTTACTCTTGTTTCTTAGTTATTATTATATTTTGGAATTTCATAATATTTATTTTCTAGTGCTCTAGTATTGCAAATACGATTTGTTAGTACTTTATAACTTGGACTATAATAAGAATTTATAATTATCACATATTTATAAAGTACATTTATATCTAATAATTGATTTCTTATAACTTCTTCTCTTACTGTAAAATTTGTATTAAGTTCATCAAAGATGAACTATAAATTACATTTTTTACATTCTATGAATTACATTTATTTTTTAAAGTGAATGTTACTTTTTGAGTCATATACTGTCAATCCATAATGTATAACAGATTCTGTTAGTGATGCATAAATAATTTTGTTTATATTGATTGATAAAATATTCAGTATTCCCCATAACTTTGCTGTAATGGGTCTTAATTTATTGCGAATCATATTTACATGTTTAGACCAAATAAAAACGTCATCTATACTAAGCCCTAAGTATGTCTTAGTATTAACATTTTCAATATACTTACACTTACAATCAGAATACTACTTGTTTTCTTCAAATAAATGTTTGTATTTAGTATTACATCTTTGATCATGACTTTGTAAAAAAATGTTGTTATTAATATTTGTATATTGTGAGTGAATTATCATAGTGTTTGTTTTATAAGTATTAATATAGATTTCATTTATATTAAGCCAATACTTTAGTTTATTGAAATCATCTTGTAAAATGTCTTTGCCAACTTGCTGTTATGGAACCTCTGCAATTGGGTGTCACATTCCATGGGCTTCCTTCAGGTGCTTTTGAAGGGAGCTCCTCTAGGTAAACCTTTACACTGGCCCCTCCACCACTTCAATGTGGGATTCTGGCTTAATTTTGTGCAATTATTTAGTATCATGGAAATTAACATTTTTTCTTACATGAAAATGTGTTTCTAATAGATACTTACCTCTTCATACACAATCCCACCCATCCTCCCCACTTCTAGTGCACAGTTATTACTTGTCTCGTCAGAGTACGAAGGTTCACAAGTTCCTCTTCCTCTTATTCAATCTTGGTGAAAAGTGTACCCTGGAAGAGATAAGATGCAGTCTCCCATGAGTGTGCCCCTATGGAGCTACTGTCATTAGGAGTCACAATCCATGGGTTTCCTTTGCATGCTTTTTGAAAGGAGCTCATCTAGGTAACTTTCACACTTGTCCCTCCACCATATCAATGTGGGATTCTAGCTTTCTGTGTGAGGAGGTGTGTATTGCCTCAGAAGTTAACATCTTCCTTACCAGAAAATGTATTTTCAATAGTTACTTCTTTACACACTTCCCACCCTTCCTCCCCACTTCTGGTGCTACTTAGTATTCCTTGCCTCATCATAGAATGAAGATCATGAGTGCAAAATCATAGAGGGAATTATTACACAGGGAAGCTGTGTTGCCCTCCTATTGATGGAGGGATTTTACTGCATAATAACGTTATTATGCAGTAGCGCAATTCACGAGAAATCTTGTGAGTTTAGTGGGAATTGTCTGAAGGCTAGTGGCATGCACATCTCAAAGGCAGACACATGAGGAAGATAGCTGTCTGTGGGAAAGGTGAGTATCTACTGGAAATATACTTTCAGGTAAGGAAAATGTTAACTTATATGCCAACTAACACAATTATGTGACTACATCTACCATGTCAAAGACCTCAGTGCCACTCAATGTCAGTAATTGTTTCTCATTCTAAGAGGACTGTAACAGTTAATTCAAATGAGGAGTGAGCTGACATCACGCATAAACAAAACTTAAGAAACAGCTCAACTGAACAACAGAAGGTACATAAAATTTAAATATAATAATATTAACAAAACATGAAGGAATACCACCTCAACTCTATCCCCTTGTTTCAAATAAAAAGTGAAGTTAATCACATAAGTCCCAATTTGCACACACACACTACTTTTTTTTTTTATGAAGCAAATCAATTAGGATCAATTATTATGACCCATCAGTTTTGTTATTTTCTGATTATAGTATTGTTTTATCTTTTATACAGTATATACATCTTGTAATTTAAAATCCTGTTTTTTTTAACAACAATAACAAGCAACTTCTTGTTCAAAAAAATATTTACTTCTAGTTGTAGGTATCAAGCTATAATCAGTAATTATATCTTCAAATTCTATTTTTCACTGAAAATTATGAAAGTAAGGAAGGATAAAGATTTTTACTGCTTTTTTACAGGTATTTGAAAAAGTTCTTGTGCAAAATATACAGTTTGGTCTATCCCCAAGTTTAACCGAGGCAATAAAGAGCATCAGCAGGTTTGTTTAATCTTGAATCTCTAAAATACTTTAGGACTGTATGTGATCATTATTAAGTTTCAAACCTTCACCATGAATATTTGAATTAATGCATTTATAAATATCTGTGGTATAGATAGACTCTGTATTATATTTAAGCCTTTTGTCCTAAATATTTTTCTCCTCCTTATTTATAGCACCAGTAGCTACCATTGAAAAGGTCTTCATACAATGTGAACGTTTCTGTGAATAATTAAATATCTCACATTGCGACAATTGACAGTATTTATAATTTTCTATTGAGTTCAATAGATCATTTTTGTACCTCATATTTATACCAGAACATCAATATCATTTAAATGCAAAAGTTCATGTCCTTGTTACAGAGTTGAAAGCTTTGTTAAAATGTCATGCTACAGTATTCAAATAATTGCACCAAAGTATTTTAGAGGATTGTATAAAAATAATATGCTTTATAATATTGAAATAACAGTAACAGTAAAATAACTGTACATGTTTACGTAATTGCTCAAGATACAGAAAGCTACTTGTGTGTCTGATTACTGCTTTGTAGATATAAAAGTGTAATTTATAACAGTTTATGGCACTGTTTGACTCAATAATTTTTTGCTACTATTTAGATAATATTTATGTGGTTAAATTGTAAGTTAGCATATTTTCATTGGTCTAAAGTCATTAAACATAATGCAAAAATATATGCACTCTGCATAATTACACAAAAGTTATAGAAAATGTGGTTGGAAACAAGAAAACCTTGGGTGTATTAATTAATTTAATAACTTAAATTTCTGTTAGAGGATTAAAAATTAATTTTTAAATACTTGTTTACTAACAGATGGCGTCTGATACAAGCTTCCTTACCATATGTCATGCACTGTTGTGCTGCCCTTCTGTATAACAGGAAAGATTCCTGCACAGAGAAACTGGGATCTGCTGAGACGAAGCTTCTTTACACTTTACATTGGATTTTATTGGATGCTGCTGAGGAATGTATGGATGCTGAAATAGACCGAGGGATTATACGTCCCCCTGGTCATTATCTTTTTTCCATCACAACCATGCAGGTAGTCTGGCATGTCTTGAATAAATTCAATATGAAAATAATGTTTTAGTCATTATGTTTTATGAAACAAAAAATAACAATATTTTTCTTTGCCATTTCAGAATAACAATGTTTTTTTTTCTTAAATATGTTAACAAATTGTATGCCAGACTTTGGAATAAAAAATATTTGCATATCTGTTACAACCTTTTACAGACTAGGGAGGGGTTACTGATATCCCTTGATTTTTTCCTTCTCACAGTGGAGGAACTTAAACCTTTCGCGACGGGCTCTGTATAATATATACGAGTTAAGTATTTATACTATAACTTTTAATGCAGTAAGTGCATCTTCACAACATTTGGTAAACTTTTAGTAAGGATTACAAGTCTTTCATACACAAAAAATCTGATTTTTTAATGAAGTATTTTTATTATACATTTGTTTGGGAAAATATTGAGTCTGTTTCAAGTGCAAAGTGATTCTCATGTTATAACTAAAAAACTATTGTTTGTCCCAAAAATCTCAAATATTATTTGTGTAATCTGTAAAACCTCCTAAATACATTTCAAACATTTATTTTCAGTAAAACTTTATACTTTTCTGTTATTTTCTCTACCCTAACTCTATGGTGTCTGTCAATTTTACCAGCCTCATAACCACCATAAAAAAGAAGGATATATACTTAAATTATGCTTTCTTTGTTCTATAATGACTACAGATTATAACACAAATGTTTAGTCTAAATAGCTTAATCCTCATAACATTATACATTTATATATTGTTATTATTTTTATTATATTGACCTTCCAGCCATGCCTGGCTAACAATACAGAAGTTACAATGACGACGCACACATGCACTCATGATACTGTATCAAATAATATAATACTAACCTTTAGTCTTTACAAAGTAACCTGTCTTGGCTGTATTTTAGTGGACTAGTATTTTGTAAAATACAGTCACATTTCAGTTATTATACATTATATATGTATATACATTAATACTATTTACAAATAAGTTTTTAAACTTATTTTTCTTAAAATATAGAACAGTAAATAAAGAAATAAAGCAAACAATTATCTCTTCTAGTTACGATATTTGTACTCATTTGCTGCTTGTCGTAGCCTTATGAAATTTCTACATGGAGGATGTGAAAAAAAATTTTTTAGGTTTTTATATATATACATTTTAAATAACCCAAAAAAATCATAAATTACTGTATCGATATCATAGAATTCCACTATAATTTATCAAGTGTAGTAACTAAGCTGTATTTGGGTCTAAAAAAATATGAAATTTCGAGCTCACTAAAGACTTACCCTATCATTTCAAAACTTGTGTGAAAAGAATAGCTGAGAAGTCCACTAGGGGGACATTCTGAGCTTTTGATTGGTTATTCATGTCATATATAGAAGTGTATATAAGGGAGCATTTCCAAAAATGGAAAGAGGTGTACAGAGGGCCACTATATTTGAGTCAGTACATGAGCAATATCTTAGCAAATAGAAAAGATAGGAGGTTCATTTTTTATATTCTAGTTGTCAATATTGGTAGTTTGAGTTCCTAATTCATACAAAACTATAGACTTTGTATTTTGACATCACAAACATCTAATTAGAACCAGTGCTGCATTCAGCATACCACAGGGTTTTACTTGGTAGCCTCCATATTGTTTTGCTTGCTCATAATTAATGACTAATTAACTTTAAAAATTGACCTTTTTAATTGGTGTGTCAACTTTCTCTCTTTAAAAAAGTATCTTTTAAAATGAGAAAAGTTACTAATAATAAAGTTTTCAGTTCTCTTGCCTTGTTTGAATATCCAGTTATACTTGGTATAGTAATTAATTACTGTAATACTTGCTTAAATCCATTGTGCATAACAACTTATTTCCCACATAAACCTAATTATAATTTGTAAAAATGATTCAGTGTTATGTTTTATCTATTCACATTTCATATTTTTGTGATTTCCAGGTTTTTGTATACCTTTTTGCTCCCTTGATGGAATGCCTCAATCATTCAGACTTTCTAACCAGTTTCCGTTTAGAGAATGGATTGAAGCTCTGGGAACCATTTTGGGAATACCGACATCCAGATGTTGGCTGTTTCACCTCTCATGTTCGGCCTAGACGAACATTTTTAAAGGCTAACAGAAACAAAAATGCACACACTAAATTTGGAGATGTTTTCCTTGGAGGTTGTATAAGTTGATTAGTCACATAAATCGTGTGAAATAGGATGAAGATTTTTAAATTAGTTTATAGATTAGAATAGTTAAAAATTATAACTTAGCAGATTTGATCAGGAGTAAAGTATCTGTTTATGTAAGTCATTTGTTATTATTCACTAATCATTTTCATTAGCTGAGATCTTTGCTTTATAAAAAACTAATAATTTATATATGTATATATTTATATTCATGCTGTTTTGTCTAAAATCATTTGATATAAATAGAAAAGTTTAAGGATGTTTCAAGTGTCAGAAATTTTCATGCTGATTTTTTTAAGTAAAAAGCAGCTATGTCTAAATGTCACCTGATTATGGTGAAATTGTTGAAAATCAATAATGATGGAAGAACTAAATATTATAACTATACAATTTACTGCTGTCCTCTTCGTGTTAAATATCTTCATGTTTGGCAGGTCAATGTGACAGTCTATCTGCTTTTCAAAGGTTTCAGTTTAATTTACAATGGAACTTTAGCAAAAAGGAAAGAATTATTAATGAGTGGAAACAGTTAACACTTAAAATCCAATACACCATTTTATGTAGAACAAATACATAAGGTATCACTTTTTTATTATTGGTAATTGGAAACAACATGAAAAGAGTTCTGGAGAAAAAAAGATAAAAAATGCAAAAAAGCATGCAATTTTTTCTTAATTTTTGCCTTTAATCTTTTTCTATGTTACATTATTTTATAAAAATCAAAATTTGTGTTTGTTCAGTTTGTATGTTATTTTTCAAGGAAAAATCAGTGCTATGTATTTCAAGTAAATTGTTTTTACCTGCCAAAGTTGGTGGTTTTTCATGAAACTCTGAAAGTGGCCCCAGTTCCATCAGCAAAATTTGGCTCAGTTTATTCATCTAACTTTCATTCACACATTTGATCAGCCTTGACCTTTATTAAATCATAAATTTATTGCAAATTTCACTGCTATCATGTGACAACATTTCTATATATCGTAAACTCTTGTATCTTTGTATGTATTGATTTTGTGTATAAACCCCGTATGCTTAGCTGTATATTATAACTGAAGAAGACAAACCAATGTTCTGTAGAAACATCTAGTATGTTCTCAATATAAAACAATTTTTTATTATGCTATAAATTGTTGTTTATCAGTTTATTATTGTATTAGAATAATGTGCTTCCATATACTACTATTTATAAACCCACCTATAAAATCTTCCATAAACATTATAGTGAAATTATATAAAAATGTATTTAGAAATTTATCTGCATGCTTAAAATCTGAACATTTGTTGTCGACACCATCAGACCTCCTTAGTAAAATTACTGTCTGAAATATACTTTTTCATTCCAAAGTGATCTTTATAGCATTCCAGCTATGGCTGGCACTTGTACTTTACCAACTTTACAGTGTTTTAGTTGTATCATGTGAACCATACTAAGTTCACCTTGGGTTTTGAAAGTTATATCAAGATCAGTTTAATATTGCAAATTTAATCACCCCACTTAATGGAGCTTTATATTATTTCAGGTTGGAAAGTTTATTTCATAAATTTTGCTGATTTACTAGATGTTTGTGTTAAGAATGTGTAACATCTATAAAAATTAGATCATTGTAATTTATACAGCAGAGGATAGAAATAGTATGGAGCTTATAAAAAATATGGTGTGCCAGGTCACAATTACAAGTCCTGAGAAAATGGATTCAGGTCCAGCAGTGTTGGTGAGTGATAGTTTTTTTTATATCAATGTGTCATTCCTCAGCAATTAAAGAATAATTAAATATATTACTTCAGTATTTTCCAACAGTTTAGATATATCAAGATTTATCATGAAGTTGATTAGCCTTCGCTTGCTTAACAATTTGACTAGGAAATTATTTTGTTCCTGTATCTACTGTAATAATATTGAGTTTATAGTTTATGTTAGTTAAAGAACTTTCACTCTAAAAATTGCAGACTTACATTGCTAAAATCCTGGATTCAATTTCCTAAGATGGATAGAGTGCAGATAGCCTATATTGTAACTTTGCACTGAAAAAAACAAATACTCCAAACATTTGTTAAAATTACAAAAAGTTATGGGGTGACAGTAAATAAAGCTGTTAAGTTTGTACACTCTTTTAGGTTTCTGAAATCAAAGTGTGCTTATTTTAAGATGAGAACACAAAAAAAGATAAAATAACAGAATTTTAGTTCGAAGAAAATTATAATTAAGTATTTTGAAGTTGTTATAGTTTTGAAAAATAACATTGTCCGTATGATTTTATTAAAAACACAATTAATTCATTGATGTGCAATTTTTGTAATCAGCCAGAAGAAACACTGTCTTCAGAAGGACTTTCTCAGAATGTTTGTGATGTGTGTCAGACAGAACCCAGCACACAAGTAAGTTTATAACATTTAGAGTAATTCAGCTAAGATATGGTAAATTGGCTTAAATTTGGGTTATACCAAGATTATAGAGAGAGGGGCCATTTGATGGTGGTGAAGATAAAAGGGAATCTAAAGCTGGGATTTTTCTTTTAACTGTAACCTGTAGGTTTTATTTTAGTAAAAAATTATTTTAAATGTACCTTATAATAAATTTCAAACATTTTTTTGTCTTATGAACCTCAGTTGTTTTTAAATGAAACTGTGTACATTGTGGTTCATTATGTAGTGATGTAACCCACAGCTAGGGTGTACCAAATAAAAAATAAATAACAGTAGTTTAAAGACTTAAATTGATGAAATACATTAGTTGGGATTAGCTTGTGAGAAGTTAAAGAAGAAAATGTATGAGTGAGTATTAGAAACATAAATTAATTTTTTAGCTTAAATCAGTATGTATCAATTACATTGGACAACAAAAAATTTGCTACTGGAGAAAACTCAAGTGATTTGGGTTAAGTTGATGGTGTTGATTTCAAAAATGTAGTCAGAATTTTTCTCTCTCCTCTAGATTTTGAGTTATTGTAATATCTAAAAATATCATCACTATGTGAAATACCATGTAATCAACTCAGTACAATAGATTTATGCTGTGAAATTAAATTTACTTGGACAGATTAATTGGTAAAAGGCATGTATTTTTGATAATTTCAAACATTGACTGTATAATTCCACAAATATTGTTCACATATGCTATTTGTTCTCAATATAACTGTAGCAAATTGCACCACTTTTGCTTCATTCCCATGCTCACCTGCTATGCCAAGGAATCACAAAACCCTCACATGCTCAGTTTGTTAGAACATTTGAGAAGTCCCTCAACTGAGCATAAAAGTGGTGGAGTCAGTTGCCTCTCACTCACTCAGTTGGTCACTTTGTCAAAACAAAGTCTAATCTTCTTTCTCGCATCACACCTATGATATAATCAAATTCTGCAAAACTTTGTTTTTAAAATCTTTTAAACTTTAGTTCTGTAAACATAAATTCTTTTATATTGTTTAGAAAATCATTTGAAATGCTGGCTGCCTCTAGTTCAAGTAAAGTCTCAAAGTGTTTAAAATAATGAAACAGTTTATTTTACATCTGTGGAAAATATATTAAAGATATTGCATCTGCAATGAAACCAGTACTTCATGGGGATAGTCTTCCAGTGCCACATCCACCAGTAATTTTGGAAACAGAAGAATTATCCTGCAAAGAAGACAATGAATCATCTTTATTCATCTAGTAATACTGTTCCTGTGGCACCTCTACATAAACTGCTTTATCTGATCACACAAGAAGAGCTAAATGATCTGATTTATGACTTGTCTTTATCAAAGCAGCATGGGGAACTTCTTGGCTTTTGTTTACAGCAGTGTAATTTATTATATCTAGGAACAAGAGTTTCAACTTACTGAAGTCACCATCAGTGTCTTGCTTCTCACTCAGCATGCAAGATACTTCGTGTTTCTGTAAAAATGTTGAAGCACTAGTGGAAGAATTAGGTATTGAACATTATCCTCAAGAATGGAGCCTTATTAATGACTCATCTGAAATTGATCTGAAAGCTGTATATTTGCACTATGGGAACACTAAGTCATCGATTCCTGTTGCTCATGCTGTAAACACAAAAGAAACTTATCAAAGCATGCAGATTATACATTCTTAAATGCAGTTTTCAATGATTAAAAAAAGTTATTATTTTCACGATATATAAGAATATTTTGAATAGATTTATCCTAAATGCAAAAAACTAGAGGGAATCAGTAATTTTCAACAAGATTTTTAGAACCAGCATCATCAAATTACTCAGAAACAGTTGAATTTTTCTCTAGTAGCAGAGAAAATTATTTATTTGTTGCCCAGTGTTATTCCCCTATGTACTGTATGTCTTTATTGCAAGGAAAAATATTTTGACTATTTTAAACCTACATAATTTTCTGGGATACTTTAATGGTATGAATTAATCTTTATAACATTTTATGATAAATGAGATTGCTTCAGGGATAGTGATGATCAGAGGGGGGCAAGGGCAGCTGCCTCAGGGCCTAGGGTCTGTTGAGGGGCCCGGCAGTGGGATATTCCAAAGCTCACTAGAAATTCATACTGTTTAATGAGCTAAAATAGCTACTGTTCTTTCATGGATTCATGAAGAAATTTGTCACCTAAATTTCTTTTATGAAAAATCAGTAAAAGTTAATAAATAGAATGTAAGGGGGCCCAATGATATTACTGACCCCAGGGCCTGGGCTGATTTTCAATGCCCCAGGCTGACTGTATATATCTATATATCTATTTGTCTTTATGCCTGCCTGCCTGTTGCTGTGTTTGTGTGTTCATATCTAACGTTGCCAGAAGATTAATTTATCAGGAGTTCATTTGTCAGAAAAATCCACTATCCAATAAATCAGTAAAAAATTTGTGTGGATATACTAAAATTAGCTTGAGTCTAGTTTTAGAAATATATACTGTGCAGCTGTGGTAATTTATATATATGCATGTGTGTGTAGTAATATAAGCAATTGTGTTTTGTTTACATTATAATGATATAAATACAGCTGTTTATGTTTCTCTATTATTGCAGAATGGTTCAGAACAGAGCACTTGTAAGTGTGGTAAGCTAAGTATTAGTGAATCCGCTCCTGGAACTTCTACTGATCAGAAAGATGGTGCCTCAAAAAAAGCTTTTCCTTTAAAACCTACACTCTCAGATGTTTCTATGGCAACCTATTTAGATGTGGCTGTTCTAAGGTGCCTGTTCATCTCCCAGTGGCTTGAAGAAGGTGTATATTGGGCATTTCAATTTCTATATAACCGGTATGTTGTTGATAGGCCTGATGAGCCCCAGTATTGGGCAAAAGAAATTTTTAACACTGAATATAACGGATACAGTGTGGTTTGATGTATTAATACATTATTCTTCAGTTTCGTTCATAAGTTCTATAAACTCTATACTACGTTTTTATAGAAATTTTATTAATGTATTTGATTTATTACATTTAATTTGATATTGTTATAGTAAAAGCCTTAGATAGAGCATTATTATTTCAGTAAAAAAGTAAAAATCTTTAAATATTATCTTATAGCATACACAACTCAAAATAGTTACAAAAATGAAAGTAAATAAATTAAATTACTAGAATTTTGTAAAACTTTTAGACCAATGAAAAGTTATGGTATTTACACTTGTGAAATAGGGACTATTTCTATAAAAATTGGAAATAAGTATTCGTAATTTCAAACTTGTGTGGGAAATATAGTTCAGCTTTAATAAAAGGCCTGAATAGTAACATTTGTTTACAAGTGGATTCAGAAGTGAGGAAAATACAATGGCTTTGAATGTGTTCAGAAGCTTGTTTGTTTGTTTTGAATTTTGTGCAAAGCTACTTGAGGGCTATCTGCGCTAGCTAATTTTGCAGTGTAAGACTAGAGGGAAGGCAGCTAGTCATCACCACCCACCACAACTCTTGTGCTACTCTTTTACCAATGAATAGTGGAATTGACCATCACATTATAACACCCCATGACTGAAAGGGCGAGCTTGTTTGGTGTGACGGGGATTGGAACCTGCAACCCTCAGATTGCGAGTCGAGCACCCTAACCACCTGGCCATGCTGGGCCCATGTGCTTAGAAGCAGAGATATGAATTTGACATTTCCACTTTTATCATTTGTTCTCTCGATTAGCCAAATAATTTAAATTTTAATAAGGAACAATTATCTTTTTTTTTCTATGTATGCATACCATTTTATAGTACTATGTGTACACACCAAAGAATGTGACCTCTCCAATATGTCAGAGGTTACACATCACTGTGATGTCACAGACATGTCCAAAGTGAAGACTCTCAGAAACATCAAAACTACCTCTCATTGTGATGTCATATATTAATCTTTCCAAAACTTAATTGAAACTTGTCTTAATTTTTAAAAATGCTATTGGTTTCTTTCTACTTCTCAATAAAAATATACACATCACACATCATTGAGTAAATAAGTTTTATTTCATCTACAATATTACACTGAGAAGTAATGAAATACTGAAAGATTAATTAATTGTGTTGATTTCTTTATCATTTCCACTATCAAGACCTTGCCACTCATCAAATAAATCACTTCTTATGGGATATGGACTTATTCCACAATTTTCATTTTCATGTTCCTTTTCTGAAAGTCCAATACCAGAACCTGGATTTTTATTATGATCTTTTAAATCCTCCTCAGCATTTTTACTATGCGGGATATTTCCACCAGTATTTCCATAAGATGTGATGGGTGTATGACCGTCACAGCCATCACTATCATTAGTTTCTAAATGGTTCATGGTGTTTAAAAGCCTGTTTAGCTTTCAGCGACTGGCTTGCCATTGAAGTTTTTTTTTGTTCATTACTGTCTTATAAGGAACTGGAACAGTGCTGAAATAGAATTTCCAAATCTTTATTGAGACTTTAACTTCAACATTACAGAGGTTGACAAACTTCAACTTATGTTTAAAGATGCTACATTTTATGAAACAGTAACTGTATTTTTTGCTTTGTTAAGTGTGAGTTTACACTGTACAAATTTTTGTGAACTCTGTAAATTAAAGCTGTAGAAAATTTAAATTATAATTATTGCAAAATATCAAGGAAGCAAACATTGTAAATTGTAAATTTTCACATACTGATAGAGGGTTCAATGTACAATAAAAACCATAAAATCAAATGAAAGCAGATGCAGAAAGGTTAGAAGCTGAGGCTATTAGGATAAATAATTGTGAATATCTATTACAGTTTTTGATTTAATTTCATATTTTTCAAACTGTCATTTCACTGTATTTTGATGATTTCACAACTGAAAATAACATATAGAATATATATAGCTTTACTGAAAGACTTTTGATATTTATTCAGGAGGTTCTAGGTGTTATGTAAATGAAATATGAAAAGTGTAAGATGAAAGTATGAAAAAAGTATTTTTATTTTTAACATGAATATCAACTTTCACTCAGATTGACTTTGGAAATTCACAGGCAAATCTGTAAATTTCTATGTACGATGGACTTGTAATGTTTATTAAAAGCTTGCCAGTTGCTGTAAAGATGCACATAGAAATTCAGAATCAAAGTAAATATTACTATTTTAGCTTCACAGACACACAGTAGGTCCATTTAGTGTCTGTATTGGTTCTTGAGAATGTACAGAATACCTAGTGTACAAGAGGTAAGGAAAGTGTTAATCTAAACAGTGGATACTTTTCACTGTCTTTTGTGTAACTTTTTGTTATAGTTGAAGGTCCATATTTATTTTCTAACCAAAGTGTTGCTATTACTCTGTTCTGTTTTCCTGTTTATTTATAATTATTTATTTATTTGGCTGATAGTTTTAGCCAAGGTCTATACTTAATCAATCAACAGTGTTGTAAAACAAAATAAATATGACTGATAATAGCACTGTCTCTTGTAATTTATTATAGTTGAAGGTTCATATTTATTTTCTAATTGAAATGTTAGTGTCAAGCTGTTCTATTTGCTGTTTATTTGTTAAGGTTATAGGCATGTTTAGTTAATCAACAGTTTTATGTTAAAATGATTGTGACTTGGAATAGTGACTATTAAGTAAATATTTGTTTTGTTTTTAAAAGTCAGTTGCAGCTTTTTTAGTTAGCTACAGTAAAGTGCTCTTGTAATGAAAGCTTACTATATATATATAGGTATATGAGTATTGCACATGGATCAAATACATGTACATAAACAATGTCTACTTCTTATTTAAAATATAAAACCTCATTACACTTGTTTTATATAATTGATACTTGAAACTGTTGTTAGTTGGTGAAACTCCATAATTACAGAATTGAGGAAAAACAAGACAATTGTACATTTCACAAATACATCATCTATTATGACCATGGTTTTGTCAGTGAAGGCATCATCAGGTACAGCCTGAAATGTTTTGTAGCAGGGTTTACATGTTTGTTTCAAACAAATACCTAGAAATGACCTTGACATTTACCTAGAGATAAGTGGGGAGGAGCTTAAGTTGATTTGGTTGTTTAGAACGTTTTCTCGATTTGTTTTCAGATATATATATATATTTATTTCTAAAATTTCCAGACTGTCTAGTTTTTTACCTTTTTCACAGATATGTAAAATTTTGCAGTTTTTTTCTGGATCAAATTGATGTTTAGTTTCAATAAAGTGGGATGCAAAAGTTGAATCCATTTTCTTCAATTTCCATCTTCTAAAGTGTTCTTTAATTCTCGTTTCTATGAAATGTCCTGTTTGACCTATATATACACTATTGCAGTCTTGACATTTTAATTGGTAAACACCATTGTTACTGTACTTTTTTGTTGTGCACAACATTTATATATACACGATTGCAGTCTTGACATTTTAATTGGTAAACACCATTGTTACTGTACTTTTTTGTTGTGCACAACATTTATATATACACTATTGCAGTCTTGACATTTTAATTGGTAAGCACCATTGTTACTGTACTTTTTGTTGTGCACAACATTTTTCCTAGGTTGTTTTTACAGTAGAAGGCCAATCTGTAGATTTCTTTGTTCAGTGTGTTATATATTTTGTGAAAAGGTTTTCCAGTGTAGCTCATCTTAAATTATTTCTTTCTCTTTTTGTTGCCGTTTGGTACAGTATGTGGGTATCTGGATTTTAAATTTATGGTTTTCATTTTTTTAAACAACAATGTGTTAATTAACTTTGTTGTATAACCAATATTAATAGCAATAGTTTATTGTTTTTAATTCAGTTTCATAATCTTCAGATGACATATATGTTTATTTATTTATTTATCTCAGATTAAAACAAAGGTTTATCCAAATAAAAGGGATTATACTCACTTTTTCAAACTTATAAAATCTAATTACCTTAAATTGACCAAGCAATCCTGGTTACAGAAGAATTGATTTTAGTAATCAACAGCTACTCAAAATACTAAACTAGTGATGGTAGGTCAGTAGAAACATGCAAAAATAAAAATAATATATATGGTAAATACATGCACTCTTAAAAGTGAAAAATCTCTGAGAATTATCACATTGTGTCAGTATAAAAATAGTCAACATATTGATCCCAAATGCGTTCTGCAATTTCACTAGTCAGCAAATTCCTATAATACAATTATAACAACATAATATCATGTGGATTATTTTCTTTAATGACGCCTAGTGTCAGTGCCTAGTGTCAAGATTCATTATTGCCCATTTACAAGGAGTTTTGAAATTATTAAATCTGTAAGTGGTCAATCAGCCCTATTTAAATGTTTCTGTAATTCTATAGCATTACAAAAAGTATTTCTGATACCAAAACTGGTTTACAAAGCTGTTGAAAGAAGACAAAATGTAATTCTTACCTTTCAGTTCAAAAAAACCAGCATGTATCAGATCACAAGTGAAGAGTGTAGTGTCACTCTATAATTTATATATAGCTTGTGCTGCTATCTAGTGAGTGTTATATATAATGTCTCAGTTATGTCTTCAAAATGTCTTCAAGAAAACATGGTACCTGTGTCCACTCAGAAATGTATATGTCACATTATGAAAATGATGTAACACAAACACCAAATTGTGACCATGTCACAGATATGTGTCGTTTTTGGTGGATAGCTACTTAAACTATAAGCAGTGTACATTTTATTGAGAATAAGTTGCAAAAATGTTGTTTTTCTCACAAAATAAATGGAAGAAAAGTAATAACAATCTTTAATCGTAAATTTAAGATTATAATTCTTTACAGATAATACATACAGTATTTTGTATACTCTAATTGCATTTGATGTTTTACAAGTTTGCGAGATATAGCTGAGGAGCAAAGTCAAGACTGGAAACCTCGAAAAAGAAGCAGTTCCCTTCCAATTCCCACAATTGAAATTTCTTTTTATCAATCTCCTGAGCAAAAACGAAGGGAGTTTGGAGATACCTTTTCAGATGGAGACAAAATGTGTGGAGTTGAGTCACCTTTTCCCCCACCCAGTCACCACAGCAGCATGCAGGAACTCAGGCATTCCTCATTGAGTGGCCCTTCAGACAAGCCCAAGCAGAAACGAATGAAGATTGGGGATTTCAGAGCATTTGTAGAAGAAAAGCTTCGTCTCTCTGAGCGTCTTCTCGATAAACTCACCAAGGATGATAGTCGAAGTTCATCTATTTCTGAAGACCAAGATGTAGCACTGATTATAGATACAGAGAATATGACTTGTGAAAGTAAAGATGCTTTACCTTTAGTTAAGAATCCTCGTCCTCAGTCAGCTTTAGCTATGATTGGAGACAAGTCTTCAAAGTCAGAAAACTCAGCTTCTGCTTTCAAGTCTGAAATGATAAGAGGAAAGAGTTTACCAAGTTTACACCTGGTGATAGAAAAACCAACTGCAGAAATAATGTCCAAACTTGGGAAGCTTGCTCCTCCTTTTACTGGTAAAAAAGTTGCTCATCATACTCATAGCGTGCCAAATCCAATCATCACCATCACTGAGCATTCACCAGTTGCATCAGTGCAGTTCTTTCTTAACCAGGTGAGGCACATGTCTTATATTAAAGTTTTAATATGTTTTACTTTTTATAACCTGACTAACATATATTCAAATGTTTTTGTTCACTTATAGTCAATATAATTTTGTAACCAACATTAGTAGCCACTAGAAAGTCTTGGACTTTATCAGTAAAAAGTGTTTATGTGTAGACAGACAGTTTTCTTTTTTGAATGTAAAGTAGAATGACAAAACAATTAAATTATTCACAGTTGGAAAGGAAAAAAATAAGTTACTGTATTTCATATTTGAAAAACTTAGTTCTGTATTCATTATTGTTATAAAGAAAAGCAAAATAGGAATCAAATTAAAACATTCCGTACTCAGTATATACTTGCTTATTGTTTGGTCAAATTTTATGAGCCTTGAATACTTTAATAAGCTAATATAGAAACATATTTATAAACAGCAAACCTGAGATACATTAATGGTGCTTTTGTAAAATACAAAAATTATGTCTTTGAACTACACTTTAGGACTCAGCAGAAAGTCCCCAAGAAGAATCCCCACCTGCTTCTGCATTAGTTCCTCCTTGCCATCAGTTTTATATTACCAGAAGCCAAACAGATTCAAACATTACCTACACACCAGAAGATCTCCAGGAAGCTCCAGGCTCAGCTCACTATATAACTAAAGATGGAGAGATCAGCTACATTGTGGTTTTGAAGGTAGTATAACAGAATTTAGATAAATGCATATATGTACTTATATTAGTGAAACTAACTTTTTTTCTTATGCTAGATAATGTCGGTGATTAAAATAGGCTATTCTATAGTCTCAATTTTTATGTAAAACAACTGAAGAATGATTTATTTTACTTTGTAATGTGATTGAATGTTTCTACTAAAATTATACTAACATTGTATTATGCAAATACTAAATATTTTTCCTATGCTCATAAGCTTTTAATTTTTCTAAGTTCTTATGTGGAACATCCTAAATCTGGTTGAGGTCATGCTAAATTTAGTCTTATGTGTTGCTTTCTAGAGATTGTCTGGTCAAGGAACATACCTACTGTTTCATGAAATTGTTGCATTGTATGCTACTTTAACTTGTGTATATAGCTTTTGACTGTAAATGGAGTAGAGATATTTCTGAATTACAGTACCTGTTTTCTGATTGGTCAACTACTGAGAGAATGTGTATTGTGAATGCAGTCTTGGTACTTTTAGGAAAGATTCTTTATGAAATCTGAGGAGAGCAATTTGTTTCATATTTGAGAGTGCTAAGACTTGTTGAAAAAGTTTAGTCCTTTTTCTTTTCTACTTTTTTACCTACTGATCATGTATGCTTCATTCTAACTTCATTTCACTTTTAAATTAAGTTTGTTTTAATTTGCTTTGACTTTGAACACAGTTTATTTCATTTTATTTTAATTTCCTTCTATTTGACAAGACAATTATTATTTGCTATTATTTAAGTCAGTACTTCTTCTTCTCTTAGTAGAGTATTTTATTTTTCTTGACTTCAACACTGTGTCTTGTATCTTTCCTTTTGTCTGTAACACATCACTACATTTGGCCTTCCACATATAAGATCCTCAGACCTATAGTTTTTTCAGAGATTGAGTGCCTGTGTGCTAGGTTTAATCTTAAGATTTCCAGAGCATCATATTATTTTCATAGATTTTTTCTTCTTTTATTGTTTTGACATTTATTATTCCTGTCCCAGGCTATACATGCAGTGACTTTACGAGAAAATGCTTGCTCTTTACGAGTTTGTGAGGTGATCTTAAATTTGATAGAGCTTTTACTGTCTTTGGGACTCTTGCCAAAGAAAGAACCTAAGGAAAAAGCTGAACAAGAGCATAAAATTCCTTCAGAGAAGCCTACAGAAAGTGGTGGGGCTACTGGAAGTGCAACTATGGAAGAACCCTCTATTAAACAACCATACATGGAAAAATCTAAAAGCAACTCGGATAAGAAGAATGAAGAACTGACAGTTCATAACTTGTTTATGAATGTTGTTCTACGGTAAGGATCATGTAGTTGCAAGAATTCCCTTGTTTATAAATGTTGCTCTGCTGTTAGGATTTTTTAAGTGAAAGGATTCCAATGTTTTCGTTTTATATCAGAAATCAGCTTTCTTTGTTTTATAATTGTGCTTATTGTGTATTTAAACCATATATATATATATATATATTGTTGTCGTCAGCGAGTCACATGA